TCCCTCTTGTCCTGCAGCCATGTTCAATCTCTTCTGGCTTGGTTTTATTGTCTGTGAACGCACAGATGTCAGCTGGTATTGACATAATCGGGAAAAGTGGCGCTGATGCAGTGACATTTGCAGTAATAGCATCTTGCTAATGTTTGCATTCACACTGTACCACATGGGACAAAGGACAAAACAGTACAGATACACACACAGACCATGAATTTGACACACACAAACACAAGCTTTCTCTTGAAAGCCAAGGTGTTAGGTGTTGATATTTTGAGGCTGTGGTTTTGTGGCAGTAGTCCATTGTTTGTTATAAACTACTCTCATAAACTGCACAGTTATGATGAAGTTTATATATATACACCACTTTATTAGGTACACCTGTTCTAATATTCATTAATGCAAATATCTAATCAGCCAAATCACATGGCAGCAACTCAATGCATTTAGGCATGTAGACATGGTAAAGATGATCTTCTGAAAGTCAAACCGAGCATTAGAATGGGGAGGAAATGTGATTTAAATTACTCTGAACATGACATGGTTGTTGGTTCCAGATGGGCTGGTTGAATTATTTCAGAAACTACTAATCTACTGGGATTTTCATGCACAACCATCTCCAGGGTTTTCAGAGAATGGTACAAAAAACAGAAAAATATCCAGTGAGCAGCAGTTCTGTGGGTTAAAATGCCTTGTCGATGCTAGAGATTAAAGGAGAATAGCCACACTGGTTCAAGCTGCCAAAACAGTAACTCAAACAACCACTCAGGAAAGCATCTCTGAATGCACAACACATAGAACCTTGAAGCAAATAGGCTACATCAGAAGAAGACCTCATCGGGTGCCAATAAGAACAAGAAACTGAAGCTGCAATTCACATAGGCTCACCAAAATTAGACAATAGAAGATTGGAAAAAGGTTGCCTAATCTGAAGGTTTCTGCTGCGGCATTTGAATGGTAAGGTCAGAGTTTGGTGGAAATAACATGAAAGCATGGATCCAGCCTGGTTCAAACTGCTGGTGGTGTTGATGTAATGGTGTGTGGATATATTCTTGGCACACTTTGGGCCCCTTAGTACCAATTGAGCATTATTTAAATGTCACAGCCTCCCTGAGTATTGTTGCTGACCATGTCCATCCCTTTATGAGCACAATAAACCCGTCATGTGATGGCTACGTCCAGCATGATAACGTATCATGTCACAAAGCTCAAATCATCTCAAACTGGTTTCTGGAACATTAAAATGAGTTTACTATATTCAAAAGGTCTTCACAGTCACCAGATACCAATCCAAAAGAGCACCTTTGGGACGTTATGGAACGGGAAGCTCACATCGTGGACGTGCAGTTGACAAATCTGCAGCAACTGCATGATGATATCATGTCAATGTGAATCAAAATCTCTGATGAATGTTTTCAGCACCTTGCTGAGATTATGTGACAAATAATTAAAGCAGATCTGAAGGCGAAAGGGAGTCCAAGCCAGTTCTAGCATGGTGCACCCAATAAAGTGGCCGGTGTGCGAATAATTGTATTAATTGTATAATGTATACTGTAAACCTTTTTGCATTCTGATGTGAGGTAGAGAAAGAGCTGGATGCATTAATCCAGAGCTCCCTCATGTGGCTCTGAGTAGATGTAATACAGTTACAGTATTACATTGTTTTTGAGTTTATATCCTCATTTTATATTACATTTTTATACCGTTTATTTGAGTCATGGATGTTTCCAGTTACACATTTCTCCTGGCGTACACTGTGAATCTCACTATATTTCATGTAATTACTTTCAGCTGTAATACGATTGAGTCCTGCCACCAGCTGCGATGCATGTTTGGTGCTGCTAATATTATGTAAATGTATAAATGAATCAGCATTGTCCTTAGCAGGAGCTTGTTTGTATTGTCAGTTTGTCACACTGGGCTGAGAAATGCAGGAGATTAAAAACTGACATCTTTACTTATTTTATACTGTATGTAGCTTATGGTAGAGGGGAGAATAGAGCTAGTTATCCACTTTTTTACTCCAGTGGACATTTCATAGGCATATATCTTTAAAGTCTCTGACATAAAAAAGCGATTGAACATTTCCACCATTAAATTGAGGAAAAAAGAGATCACGTTTATTCCACACACAGCATGTGACATCATTTGGGGTATTATATATATATGAATCAGTTTACCTCATTGGGAACCTGCCATTAGATTATTGCATGCTTTTCAGCACAATTTAAACGGCAAACCAATTGTAGCATTCAAAACTGTTGTTATACACATACATACTTATACAGTGTGCATGCATGTATGTATATGTATATATATATATATATATATATATATATATATATATATATATATATGTATATATATGTATATATACACACACACACACATACATATAGCTTAAATTAAACTTTAAATGTAATTTCGTATTTTTTTGTATTGTATTATTATATTGAATTGTATTGTATTGTTATTTTATATTGTATTGCATATGATATGTATATCCATCTGCTCATAAAAAAGGAAATATATGCTTTTCATATCATTTTATTAAACCTACAAGCTTCCCACGGTTGAAAACCGATGCATGTCACATTGTAACAGTCTCTGCTTCTAATAGAGAGAAGCTGGTCTACTTTGAATAAGCGATTTAATCTAACAGGCTTTGCTATGTAAATGCATGTTAATTTATGCGCAAGTGATGTGCAGAAGTTGAGCAGATCAGTTGTAGAGGGGCAAGGGGACGTGATTTCTGCTCCATGTTCATTTGTCATCATCTGTGTTTTTTACAAGGTGGTCAGGGAGTGATCTGATCCAACGATCCCCCTGCCATGCCTCTCAAACAGAACAGGGGTATAAATACAGGGAACATGTACATGCTGAGCTCAAGTCGTTTCATTGAGCTACGCTTGAGAAATCACATAGTGTATCCCCCAGTGGAATAGTAAATTTGGTTGGTGTTAATCGTTGACTTATGACTGTATAGCTAAATGGAGAGTATAAATACAGAAGAGGTCATGATGATTTAATGTCTATAATACAAATGCATCCAGATTCACGTGGTTGTTTTTCTGAGCATTGCAATTTGTGCTTGACATTACCTCAGCTATTTCATAATAGTCATTTGTAGGATGCAGCAAATTGTTCGGAAACTGACCTTTTGCTAAATGCATTTACATATTGCACAAAAGGCTGCAAACGAACAGCGCGCATCTGAAGTGTCTCTGAAGGAAATAATGCATTATTTATCGGCTTTAAGAAATCGGCCAAATTTTCTTATCAGGCCGATACCGATAACAGAAAAAATGAGCATTTATCGACCGATACCGATATGGTGGCCGATATATCGTGCATCCCTAATATATATATATGAAGCATGCTTTGAATAACTCTGCAATATAAGTTCATAAACATTGACAGGTGTCTTTATCAGCAGTTCAGTTTATGTGTGCTAAAGGCGAGGACAGAATGTAGGGACTGTAAGACAGTTTGATTAAACATTGTTGACAAAAAATAAAAATAAATATAGTTTCCCTTTTATTTGAGTTTTCGTATTTGTATTATTCATGTTTTATGCAAACTAACTTTAAACTCAGTGTAACTGAAAAACGTCTCATCCATAAAGGAGTACTAAATGGCGGTCAGGCCTGACTAAAAATGAAAAGGTGTCTGCTGCCCTCATGTGGCTCTGAAAGGAGCTCGAATATAACGTGAATATTTCCCAGCAGCTACTTCAGGTGAAGGCAAGAATCGCCTACATGGCCAGTGGGCAATGCTTAAAGGGATAGTTCACCCAAAAATGTAAGTTCGGTCATAATTTACTCACCCTCATGTTGTTCCAAGAAGATATTTTGAAGAATGTTGATAGTGAAACAGCTGCTGGTAGCCACTGACTTCTATAGTATTCATTTATTTTTCCGTACTAGGGAAGTCAATGGCTATCTTCAACTGTTTGTCTACCAACATTCTTCAAAATATCTTCTAAGGAATTTCTACAGATATGACATTTTAAATCTGTAATAAGCTCAAATAAACTAAGGTCCCAAAATCATGCTTTATTTATTGAATCTATGTAAACCATCCATTCATCCATCCATTTTCCAAACCGCCTGTCCTCTAGGTTGCAAGGATGCTGGAGCCTATCCGAGCGTCTCGGGTCGCAGGCTGGGGAAACACTCTGGACAGATGGCCTTCTTGAGTAGAGCCTTACCAGAACACGAAAGAGATTTACTTAGACCAGATTTGTCAAATGACATAATTATGTGGGATAATGTCAACTTCCACAGCACCAACATTGTTGGGGAATGGTTTGCTGAGCATGAAAGGATAACACTAGAGTTCCTTCCACCATACTCCCCTTCCTGAATCAGATATTTCAGCATGGGGATGGAAAGTGTATGACTAGAAGGCACAAGATCAGATAACTAAGTTGGAAGTCATGAATGCTGCTTGTGAGGACATCACAGACCATCATCGCAAAGATATTTTCCCCTGCTGCATCACAAAAGAAACATCAGATGTGATGTTGACGAAAATCTCTGGCAAGACTAACAAGAATGACAGGATGTTCACCTAGAAGATTGGAACTTTCAGTGTTATGTATAGTGAGGAGGTACAATTTAATGGTTTTGTATAGAGCGTTTTTTTGGTGTTGTTGTAATTTTGTGGCAAACTTATTTCACATAAACTGCATGTGACTAGCAATTTTTTGGACGACCACAATTTTTTTCCTAATTTTTAAAAGTGTTTATAAATATATATATATATATATATATATATATATATATATATATATATATATATCATCTATCCAGGGGAAGTCTGAAATCACAATGATTTCGACAGAGCAGCATGCATGTCACGCTTTCAGATCCTCAACATCCCACAGCTGACTTAATCAAACACAGACCATCTCAAAGTCCTGCTTCCACCCCCTTATCTGATTGGCTAGTGTGGAGCGTTGGAAAGAGTTATGCAGGGAACGCCTCTATTCCCATATAAATGTAGGCAACTTTTAAAAAAGCATCATTTTGGATCTTAGTCCACTGTCTAGAGCAAAATGGCCTCAGCACATGACAGAGCAGTTTTACAGGTCATCTTTAACCCTACCAGCCCTTTTGGAGATATCCCTGGATTAAATCAAGAAGATGAGCTGACAGACAATGGTAAGATAAAGGTCCATAATTAGATAACAATGCAAAGTTTGTGTATGATGATGACCAGTAGTCTCTCACTTAATGTTATATTGTGATAGATAGATAGATAGATAGATAGATAGATAGATAGATAGATAGATAGATAGATAGATAGATAGATAGATAGATAGACACATGTGGCAGTTTACTTAGAGAATTAAATCAGGTCTTTCATACTCGAAAGTTTCAAATGCTATAAAGATGTGTTCTCATTATGAACACTATTGTGTATTTCTTTCATATGTCTTTCTCTAGACAGTGTTTTTGAATCAGAGCTAGTGAAACAGGTGAAAGATCTGGAACTGCAGGGAGTTTCTGCTGCTGAGTCTGGAGACCTGCACGCTGCTATTCAGCATTTTAACCAGGCCATCCGGATCCTGCCTCAGAGGGCTTCAGCCTACAACAACCGAGCCCAGACCAAACGACTGCAGGGAGACACGGAAGGTGATACGTTTCTTCTTTCTCCCCCAGAATCAGCTGAAAAGGTTTCCAACTTTAAGTTCTGCAGTTCTTTTTTCAGAGACCATAATGAAAATACATTAAAATGGCAACAACTTTCATTGATGTTCGCACAAAACGTGATTATAGGGGCAGATTATCGCTTATTTCCGTGCATTTCCTTGCATAATACTACCTCAAACATCTTTTCATAGTGCATGATTTGTAAACAATACATTTTGACATTTGTATCAGATAACCAGCTCTTTATGTATGGCTTTACAAATATATTTGTTTGAAGTCCTGTGAAACGTGAATCACGATAAAAGCGTTTAAAGACTTGTATAAGCCAGCTAAAATGACATGGATGCTTCAGCAAATGTATTTTTATCTCATGTTTAGTTTGGTTTTGTTAACACTATCTGTTTGGTGTAGGTTATACAATATTTTCAAACATGATACAGCATTAACCTTTTATTGCCACTTACAGGATGTTTAGTTTTTGAGCGGACATGATACATAAAACAACAAACATCATAAAACCTTGCCAGACTTATGTTCATCTGTTTCAGAAAAAAATGAACGTGACTTTAGCGCCACTCACTGGAGCAGCATAATATAATTTTGCAGAAATGTCACCATATATATATATATATATGGTGAAAAAAATTAAAAAATAAATAAAAATAATATATGCATATATATATATATATATATATATATATATATTTTTTTTTTTTTTTTTTTTTTTTTTTTTTCCAA